GCATTCCGCTTGATTATTAGATTTTCAGGAGTATTGTCGAGTAATGACTTTTAATTGAATCCAAATGGAAACACTGGACTCCAGTACACAATCATTGACTTTGTCTTTTTAAGATAAACAACAATGTATTGCTAAAGAAATAGAAGAATGAGGGATGCAGCCATTTATGAACATATACTTAAGTTACACAGCACATATTCATCACACACTGTTGAAATCTGCTGACTGTACCCTTATATCCAGTCAATGACATAAGCCACATTTGCTGGATTTGGCCTTCAACTGTTAATGATAAATTCAAGGCTATGACATTGACAGTGGTACAGGCTAGGAATTCAACTTTAATGCATTCATAAAAATGCTAACATCTCTGAATTGGTTGGCTAAACAATAGGTTAAGTAGCAGATTTTAAGTAGTGATTCTGAGTTAAAGCATTCAGTCATAATTCCCACAGTACTAAGAAGGGGGGAAATGTTCCATATTAAATGCTTTGTTGTATTCTTACTTACTATGTATAATGCTGTTATTTGATAGCAACAGCAGCTTGGTAGTACTGTAAGAACTCCATGTTTTAAATCTCCTACAGTAGAAGCATATTGCCATACAGATCCTCTTATAATACTAAAGGAGGCTGCTAAGGAAAATGAAGATGGTGTTAATGGGATGGGAGACTAGTAGGCTACACTTTTAAATCTGATCCACCATTTCCAAATAGGCCTCTCAGTATTGTGACAGAGAATACTATGTAGGAGATGTGTTTTCCACCTTCACTCCAGCTTCCATTTCTAGGATGTATCTGAAAAGAACATGGCTGCCATGTGTTCTTGCTGTCCAAGTCTGCAAACAAAGATTAGGGTATTATGTTAGCTAGCCCAGTTCAAAGGGTTAGGTTAAATTCCCACAATAAAATCAGCAACATTAGAATAATTTAATTTATGGGTGTAATTAAGGCTTATGAGAATAACTATAGACCGTTGTTTGACATAAATCTACAAAAATGGTTTTGCAAACTTCCTTTCATTCATTATTTGTGTTTTCTATTTAATATCTGATATTATTATTTTAATAAAGTACATTATGTACAGTACCAGTGCTCTCTGTAAAATATACATTATCTTTCTCTGTTAAGACGATTTAGAGCAGAGATGTAGGAGAATATGCTAGTGGTAGAGCAATTAGTTTTACAGTGTTTATTTGTCCAAACTAAATGGCTTATAGGTATAATTGATTTTAGATATCTGCATTCTTTAATTATCAGCTTCATGCCACTCTTTCATGTCTTTAGCTTTCTATATTTGTTAAAGAACTGTGGAAATAGCTGTACTCTTGATGAATAAATGCTGTGTTTCATAAGACAAATGTATTTTTCCTAGAGACATGCTTGTTAAATACTGTAGATAAAATAAATGTAATTAACAGTAAATTGGGGAGTAAAAATTGGATGTTGCATATTAGAAACATAATTTGGTGTAATGAATGGAATTTTGAAATACACATCCATCTTTTTGTGCATATACTGTATGCTTTATATATAGGTTGAAGGGTATACAGTATATAGAATGAAAGATAAATAAAATCAATAATTAAAAAACCTTTCATGCTTTGTTATATTGCTGTGTTAACTAAATTAATAATTATTTGAAAGGTAGTTCAATAATATTTGCAGCAATAAATAAATCACATACTCTGGGTATTAACTTATAAAATAATGATAGTTTTTAAACATTTAGAAGATTCATGTGCAGTGCTCTAAAACACCATTTAAATGTTACTTTAAAAACAGCCTTTAAACTTTAAAGGGAGCCTTCCTTAAAATTATAGGAGATTACCTTATATCATCTTTAAAACAAATCGTGAAATCCTGCATCAGTGAATATTGTCAGCACGTTCTTTATGTATTCATTATTGCACTGGATTGAAATATTGTCTACTGATCACATGCAATATTCTTAACAACAAACTCATAGATTACAAGCACACATGGGAGCAACAGTCATATCACCATGCTAGCAAATTCAAATGTTGTAATCATTGCTCATTCTTTATCAGATTCAAAACTAAAGAATTAGAATATGGTTAGAATTGCATAGTTATGTCAATGCATCGAGAAGACTATCAAAACCAAAATAATCAAATCAAAACAAGGCCACAGTTTAACATATCTGCCCCCTTTTCTGATGAAGCCACGCTCATGGTAAATAAGTGGTCTTAACTAATAAAAGTAGAGTTTTCCTGGTTTTGAAATTCTTAAAGTTCTTGTCCTTATTTGACAAACAGAGCATGCTTGATATAGTTTTAATTAATTGGATTTAATTTCCTGACAGGAAACCCTGTCAGTTTATCAGTAAAACATTTAGCCTTAGCTAAATTGGTACCAACTGACATCTCAGTGCTCTTTCGCATGACAATATTGAGAAAAAAGAAATGTGGTAGGAAGAAGAAGTAAGGTCTAATTTATCTTTAAAAATGAAGAATTAAAAGAAAAATAAATAAATAAAATAATTAAACCATTTGTTGACTTCTGTGATTCTCTCAAGATCAAAGCAGGAAATGCATGCACAATAGGATAGGTGAGGACAAGAAGGGTTTGTTCTGAAGAAGTACAATAAGTATTTTTCCTTCTGCTTGGACATTTTGAAATAAAAGTATTTTGGACATTCCCTGCTGGGCGGTGCGGTGGCTCTGTGGCTAGAAAGTTGCTGGTTCGTACCCTGGGGTTGGCAGAGGAATTCTACCCCATTGGCCCCTGAGCAAGGCCCTTAACCCCAGCTGCTCCAGGGGTGCCGTAAGAATGGCTGACCCTGTGCACTGATACAAGAAATGATATATGGCCAATAAAGTGATCTTCTTCTATGTGTTAATGTCATATGTCAAATTGTACATAATGCCTCTTTTATTATAGAATAAAATCAGAGTGCCCCATAGTCTGTAGAGCAGACTGTTAGAAGGATTCCCCATAGAACAAGTAGGTAGCTGTGTCAGCATGCCTAGGCTGCAAAGGAACAAGTAAAGTTTTATTCCATGCTGAAAAGATAAGAAAAGAAACCCAATGTTTCGGCTATGGACCCTTCGAAGACACAGCCAAGCTAGTCCTCCACTCAGTGTGAACTCTCCTATGTCCACTGGGTGGCTAGAAGACAGAAATAAGGTGGATAGCTAAACAGTGCTGTGTAGGAAGGAATGCTTGTCATCATCCCTTGTATAGTGGTACAAGGGTTGTAACAGTGAGCTGAATTGATCTTACGTTAATTCCAAACTGAAGGCTATAGACACTTGTTTGCAGACTTTGTAAAGTGTATTATAATCTAATGGCATTTAAGCAAAAATGGAAAGAATACAGAAATTATCATTGTTGTCTTTTTCTTTAACACTATAGACAAATTCGCTTTTTACACTTTTACATCAAAAATCACTGTTCTGACAATTTCAGAAGTAGTAATTGTAGCAGCAATTAATTATTCCAGATCTTCACTACACTACAGTAATAAAAAGAGGATTACCAAGCCTCAAAATTGCATTCAGTTGAAAAACAAAAAGAAAAAGTAAAACTTTATGCTTAATATATATGAATGATGTATTTGTCAATCAGAAGGTGCATATGAAAAAAAATATAGGAGCACATTGTAGTACTGTATGCATTTACAACCCCAGGCATTTTTGTGTGGCAATGCTAGTGAACATTACTGGAAACATCTTGCTTTTTCTTCTTAATATGTTACTTTATTAATTTTATAAACAACAGGAAAGAATCATCCAAAGGGTAAAGATCTAAATAAATATCAGTAATGGTTTTCCAAGATAGTGACACAAATTGAGAGGCTTGCTGCTTTGACCTTCGACATCTCTGACCTCTAGCTGACAGGGCTGTTATCCAGATACCATGTATCTGGCAGCTGTGAAAATGGCTTTTGGCAGCATTGTGCACCACCAAGCTCAAAATGACCAGCATGTACTGTAGTTCGACCTTAAAAGAGAATTTCTGAAGTTGAGTATTTTTGGTGTAATTTTGTGTTTTGTTCTTGATTCACAAAATGTGAGACACATTATCAGCATTTGCACCTGGTTTATTTTTATGTCATGTTTAGGTGTTGTCATTGATCTACATACAGTTATGCATGAAGTTTATCTTCTCTGCACTTTTAGATTAATAAAATATGTTTCATATTTGTATGGTCATATCACTTGAACATTTCTCAAGGGCTGGATCTAAATAAAGTATGATGGTGCATATGGTGCTGCTGCTGATGTTGATTCAAAAATAACAATAATACATGTATATATTTAGTGTATAAATATATAATGTAGTGACATTGCATTTGCAGCCACTCGCTGGGTCAAATATATGTATTTCATGTAGGGCATGAGCAAGTAATGTTACTGTAAGTAATTATCTGAAACGAGCTATGAAAAGCTAATTAAATCAACTGCATTTTTTGGTCAGATAACAGCTATAGATGCCTGGAATGTTAGATGGCATGTAATACAATGCTGTGACATAATCATCACACACTCTACCTGTTTTCTTGTGCATTGAGGATCATAATGGTTTTATTATAATAACACACAGGAAAAATTCCAAATGAAAATTTCTACCCTGAATGTTAATTGCAAGATTATTGGAGGCTTTTACGTATGCTTATCACAGGTGTTTGCTGTGGGCTGGCAGAGCGAGAGGAAATTCATGCAAAAACAAAATCACTACAGCGAACACATATACGTTACATACAGTATATGCATAAAACATACTCACATGTTTCTTGCATAAAAGATAAAATGCTAAGATGCCGAGTACTGCCTTGCAGTTACAGTCCACTTATCAAACCTCATTTGTTGCCATTTAAAGCCTATAGGAAAACAGTTCAACTGCCAGGACTGTCATAGCCGCAGTGCAGCAAGCAGCTCACAACTGGAGGAGTGTGCCGGAGCACCAATTAAATCCTTCAGCTCCCAGGGACTGGGGATTAGGAGTCGTGCCAATCACTGGTACTACAAGAGCACGTGCACTAGTCATGGTTCAAGGCACACAGTGGTTTATCTCCACTCAGGCAGCCAGTGCAGCCGGAGCAGGCAGTGAAAGCTGCTGCAAGATGCTGGAATTCGATCTCGCTTAAATAATACATGTCGCGCTAAACTTAATGTCTGAGGCAGGGCTGTGAATTATGTATTCCGCTGGGTGCAACAGTGGCAAAAGAGAATGCTGGAACCTGTAGCTGAACAACTGTGTGAACTGAAAACATGTCCCATTATCACTTTATCAAATGCTGTAAGTAAAAACCTGAAAGTTTTTTTTTTCTCCATCTCCTAATGTGTGAATGTGCTGAAAGCAAGATATTGGTGTTTTTTATGTGGGTGTGTTCATATCATTCTGATGCTGTGTTTTTTGGTATTATGTCTGCCTTGTGTGGATGAGATGCTGAATTATTTTATATTGCTGATTTGTCTTTTATCAATTCATATATGATATGCACATTCTACATTTAGAATTGTTCTTTCTTTTACCATGAGCAAAGTTGCTCAGCCTTTGTGTACTAAAATATAGGGATGATCTGTAAAAACATGATATTCTAGAAATCTTGCTACTTTTTTTAGATTAAATTGACAGTGATGCTTCCACAGGAACAAGCACTGTCCCAGGAGTGGTTTTGAGACAACAGTACTGCAAAAGGGGCTTTTCAGTAACTGTGCCGAAGGCAGTGAAGCTTAGGTAGGAAACCTGTGTAACTGTTCAACATCCCACTCTTAAATAAACGTAAGACATATCAAACACATAGTATATTGTACAAACCATAAGACACAGACCTAAGGTGAATAAACAATGAGCACGGCTGGAAAAAGTAAAAAATAAGGCATTGTTGGTTTCAGTATAAAGACATGAAAGCACCAGGGGAGACCTGGGGAGAAGAACTGAAGAAAATATCTGTTCAGTTTATGCTCCCTGTGGAATTGTCTAGTCAGTAAGGTAGTATGAAGTTACAGAAAAGTCAACTGACAGAAATGACCTGTCCTGGTTGAGCTGTAGGAAAGGATTTTTTTTTCCTGATGTAAATTTTTCTATATATATTTGTGTGTGTATATCTTGTAAACATGGAATTGTGTCTGGCTCGCTTTCTATCAATACATATGTAAATGCATTTAAATTTGTTTAATATACATGTGTTTGAATTGTCTTTTTATTTTACATTTTTTTTAACGCGGCCACTATTTTACAGTCTAGTCACATAGAAAAGCCATTGAAGAGCAGCTTATATTTGTAGGATGGACCTGGTTTCATGCTCTGCAGAAAAGCAGGATTCCGTTTACAGTTACTAAATGCTAGAGGCTTTCATCTTGATAATTTACTGGGACCCACTTGCCTGTCAGTTTTATTAACTGCTGTTCTACAAAAAATTCTAATGCACATGAAAGAGTGATACCTATTCAATCTTCTTGTAGTTTTCAAAAAAAGAAAAAGAAAGGCTTTTCACCGATATCCTATTTATAGTGCAGCTTAGTACCTTAGTATGCTAACAGTTAACATTTCTGTGTCGAAGTTAACTACATTGTATACACGTATTCAAGACTGAGGGAGTGTGACATTGCAACGATGTACATTATGTTCCACACAAAATGTGCATGCTTATAAGCTTGTGTTGTTGATAACATGTTTTTGCAGGCTTTTTAATCTCTTTAATTTAAAAAAGAGCAATCAAGATTTACAGTAAGTGCTTAAAAGCAGTTGTAAGCTAATTGAATAGACATGTACTGTATGACACTTCCATCAGGTGATCAATGCTTTCCACTACTGTTGTAGGATTGTTCAAACACCTATGATTCTTATTTAGAAGTAAAATACTAGAAACTTAAACACTTTTTTAGAGCAAATTCTATTCCATGTTGATTTTGCTCAAACTATCAAGCCACATCACTGGTAATACAGATTTATCCGATTTTAATGTGTTTCCTAAACTGTCTATGAATATGATTTCTAGTGGAAAGGTTCAAGATTTTAATTGTAACAACAGACCTTGATGCCTTTACTTGGGTTTAGAAATTAAAAGAGCGAGTAATTAATTGCTTAATTCAATCAGTGATCTAACCTTTGATTGTGCATGTCTTAGATAATTATATTTATTTGGTTGCTGCAATAGTAATGGAAAATAAAGCTGAAGCATCTCAAGTATAGAAAACAACAAAAAGGATGGATGTGTGGAATATTACATTTTTGGATTAGCTACAAATAACTGTTCCAGCAAAAACATTTTCTTTGTCAGGAGTTCCTGTTAAGTACATTTAGCTACATTTCTTATGCACAATGCTGCTGTATATTCTATAAAGCTATTATATATTACAATGTACTCTACAACGGTTACAGATGAGTATATTTTGTAATATACTGTGTCCTTAAAAAAGAAGAATAAAGAAGAATGGCACAGAATGTAATTCACAACCTAGACACTCTTCCAGGAAAACATATAGTATATTATCCTACCCAAGTACTAGACTTTGTAAGTTAAAGGATCTAAAATATTTTGTATGAGTATTTTTACCTTCCTTTCTATAATTATTGATGATTTTCAAATTCTGTTTGATCCTGTCAATTTCTCTTTTATAAGATTGTGTGTGTGGAGTCGTTTTTAATTAAGTTTGTTAGCAATCTTTTCAGTTTCTAGGAAGTACAGTATGCTGCATAGAATTACAGTGAGTAAGCAGGCTGCATAAGCAGACCTGGATTTTACAATATTAGTTCAGGGGCTTATTTTTATGTGGGAGTTTCAAAAACCTCCAAGCTTGAAATAGAAATAAATCACTGGAATCTTCTTTATGTCATATTACATCTTTGTAGATTTCATTCTGTCATGTCACAGTATATTTACAACAGGTCCTTGTTTACTGTATGCTTTGTCATTACAGTTAATGCATACTACAGTAGTAACAGTAATTCAAATATTCAAATATATAATGCAATTATTGATCATTTGATGGTAGATAATACATTTATTTTGTGGTGTGGATGTGATGTGGAAGAAAAATATAAAATTACTAATTGTAGTTCATTTTTTGTAATTGTCCGTTTGAAAATAACTTTTAAAATAAGACATATGATTATAGCAATAACAGTTTGACTATATCTGAGCTTGTGAAATTTTACATTGGCCTGTGCTGCATTGTTTATTTTGGGTAATCATCTCATGTTGATTTATATCATCAAACAATTAAAACAAATAAAGCATATTTCATTAGTGCTTCTAAATTTTGTATACCATCCTGTCAGTATGACAACCTATGATTAAGACATGAAGGAAATATTATCAGTATCAGTTTTTAAGAGGTCTTATTAGTTTTTTCATAGTTTATGTATTCGACTGACTCATGTATCTTAAGCAACTTACATTGTTCCCATTTGCACAGCTGGTTGAATTACTGGTTTATTTGATCGGGAGTGATGAAACAAATAGATATGTTGAGAACAAATGAGTAGCCTTTGCCATTGAACTTTTTGTGCAGATTTTCCTTGTTTCCTTATTTCATCCCATTTTCTGCTTGTAGTAATACTTTCGAATGAGATGTTAAACAGAGGTCCTGCCTTCTTAGTCATCTCATGGTACGTACTGTCTGAAAAGGTGGAATACAGTTAGAGTTTTAACTCTAGTGTACTGGTTAAATTACACTTCAGTCTTCCACAGTCTTGTCTTAAATTTAGTTGGTGAAATGATTTGAAGTTTTGTGCAGTGGGATGGTGCCTAATGGTTGCTAAATGCCACCACAGATGGGTGCTCTTCTTGAAGGGATATAGTGGTTCTTTTTACATTTTACTGATTTAATTAAAAATAAAAAACAGTAAATAATAAAATGCATAAGTATTCACCACCCCCAGAGTTAATGCTTGGTAAGACCACCTTTGGCAGTAATTACAGCTGTGAGTCTCTTTGAGTAAATATCAGCGTTGCACATGTTGACACTGGAAGCCCATTCTTCTTGGTAAAATTGCTCAAGCTCCATCAAGTTGGAAGGGAACCATTTGTGAACAGTTTCTCCTGTCTCTGACATGGAGGGCTGTAACTCCTTTAGAGTTGCTGCTTTTCTTGCCCGGCAACTTAGTTTTGGAGTACGGCCATTTCTGGGCAGATTTACAGTTGTTCCATATTTTCTTACCTTTTTTAATGATGGACTTCACTGTGCTTCGAGGTATATTCAATGCCTTGTATTTTGTATGAGTATTTTCTGATATCCTTGCCCTGACTGGTGTTTTTCAAGAACCTTGTCTCCGATCTGTTTGCAATGTTCCTTGGTCTTCAAGGTGTAGTGTTTCCGTGGAAATGCACTTACTAAGTGGGGTGAACCAAATAGTACACTGAAACATGTACTCTATATCCAAAATACATCACCATGGTATATTTATTTTGATTTTATAATATATATTTGAGACAATAAGAAACAGATAAGGTTGCTAATTGGAAAACTAAAGTCTAAAGGTGCCTCTACCCTGAAAAAAAATGTACAATGTATAAATCTACTGTATTATACATATGGATGCAAAACATGGACCTTGAATACCAGACAGGTCAAGGACATTTCAAATGATACATAGCTGGAAAACCAAAAGACAGAAAAAGAAATGAATGTGTAATGCTTTTGTCAAGATTGATGAAAGTGGCAATGGGCAAGATGAATGACAGAGACCAAAGAAATAAAGTAAAATACTAGAGAAATGTTATCCCAAGACAAAAGACCAAGGAGTGGACATCCTGGAACATGATACTGTATGTATGTATATTGCAAAACTGGTTGTTGGAATTTTTTCACCTAGCAACATATTGATAAAGACTTAGGAGGACATGTACAAATTATGAATCATAAGCAAGAATAATGAACTTCATGTCAAGCAGTCAAAAATAATTCTGTCATAACAAATGTATAGATAACTGTAATTCCAGGCATTTTAGATAAAAATGCAAAGATATATTAAATATTTATTTTTTAACACCGACACCAAGTCACTGAATTTAACCTTTTCTATGAATTAGGAAAACTCACAAAGAAAAGCAAACAGTTGAATCAAGCATCTTCTTGCTAGAGCTATCGTTGAGTTGGTTGACCATGCGTTTCTTTGTCAATACACCATAAGGCAATAGATGAACTCCAAATCCCATAGATGGTACTGTACAGCAGTACTGCTCTCTCTGGGTATATGTGAATTTAAATTTTGCCTTACTAAGCTAAACTTACTAAATTGTGGACAGATGTTTAGCTTTTGAAAATGCAGATTTGGCACTTATTACTAGCCTGCAGCTCTGAACTACTGGACACACCACAGCTTGAAAACTGAAAATCTGGCATGTATTTTTGTTTTAATGTCATATGAAATAAGGGTTTGGTCTAAAAGGAAAATAAAGAGAACAATTTGAAATTATAATTTAATAAATATTGTTTATTTATTAGGGTGGCACAGTGCTACAGTAGATAGTATTGCTGCCTTGCAGCACTGGGGCCCTGGGTTCAATTCTGGACCTGGGGTGTTATTTGCCTGTAATTTTTATTTTCTCTCTGTGTTTGCGTTGGTTTCCTCCCACAGTCTGAAAACATACTGGTAGGTTAATTGGCTTCTGGGAAATTGGCCCTGGTATGAGCGTGTGGGTGGCTGTATTTGTGTCTGTCTGCCCAGCAATGGACTGGTATTCCTTCCAGGGTGTCCCTTCCAGGGAGTAATCCTGCTCCCATTAGTTGCTGGCATAGACACTGGATGCCCCGCAACACTGAATTCAAATAAGTGGTTAGAAAATAGATGGATGTTTATTTATTAATATTTATACTTGATTTATTCATGATTTCTTTTTGTTCATTATGCTGAAAAAAGCTACCAAATTAATATTTAAGTCAAATAATGTATACATATAGTACTTCAAAGAGGTTCTATCTTCAAAGAGGTACTATATCATCTCTCCAAAAAATGAAAACTAGTGAATGTAAATATACAGTTATAAGATATCTATATTGTGAGCTAATTCATTTTGGAACACAACAGTGGAATTCCCAATTTAATATGTCAGCAACATTATTTTTCTTTCTGGCTGATCATATCTCAGGGCAAACTGAATTAGTTCGAAAACTCATGACCATACAGTATCTAATAGAATTACATTCACTGGACTGATCTAAATAACTTTTTTCCTATGAAAATGTAGCAAAGAATTATTATTAAGAAATGTAAAGAAAATAGGAAGGAAGAGAAAAGCACTGCATTCTTTGGAACTGGATTCTTGAGTTAAGAAGACTAAATAGGTTTTGTAACTTTTTAAATAATTTATGTGAATGTTTCAGACTGCAAGAACTGAAGTCTGTTCTTCAGTGCTTTTTATAACATACTGTAATGCAATACTATAATTTTGTTGAATCCAATTTAAAAGTCTTCCCAAAGACAAAAAATAAACATACTGTAGTTTTATTCTATTAATTTAAGTTTCAGCTTTTCTTTTATAACTGCTGTCTTTTTAACATACTGTAAAAAAGAAATGTTACAAATGAAAATGGCTATAGTTTATTTATTTAAGAATAGCATGTAGACACTTCTTGAGGGATATCATCTACAACAATGTGACGGGTTAGCTTGTTTTAGACTCCCACTAATATCTAAGTGTTGTGAGACTTCCTTTAAAAGTCTGAGTCAGCCACATACTGTAGTCTTTGGAACTGTGATTTGACTTCCTTGAGTGTACGAAGCTGAAAACGAAACCCCAAAAACGAATACCTGAGAGTGCTTTTCTGTCCTTTGCAGGTTGTTTTCAGCTATGTAATATTTTTCGATCTCACAACATGGAAATCGACCAGTGTTTGCTGGAATCCCTGCCTCTAGGCCAGCGCCAAAGGCTGGTGAAAAGAATGCGCTGTGATCAGATCAAGGCCTATTATGAACGAGAGAAGACACTACAGAAACACGTGGGACACAAACCCATGATTAAACAAAGAAAGAAATGCAAGATTCACTTTGGCCTCTCTGACATCATCCAGGATGCAATCATTCATCATAATGACAAAGAAGGTATGTACAGTAGAAATTCCTTTAAAAGTGTTTAGAAAGTAGTTATTGTCTGTGATGAAATGGTTCTCTTTTACATGATTTACACATATAAAAGTTGGTGATAGGAATATTGATGGGAGATCTCACCAAGTACCAATGTCTTAATGTTTTGCACTTAAGAAGAGGGGGAACTGATTAAGGACCTGAGAAGGAGAATTTGTTTGTACCCAAACACCAAACTAACCTAAATCTGTCATTTAACACCAGGACAAATGGTTATTGGTGAGCCTGGGAAGACAAAAAATTGAGTTCCTTTATTAACAACTGGTCACTGAAGGGTGAATAGAAAATGATAGGAGTTACCTTTTGGAAAATCTAAATATACAAATGGAGTTATTAAAAATGTTAAAAAATGATAACTCTTCCACCACATGTTTAGATTTTTCTATCCCTTTGAATTCCTCATCATAATATTTAAAATAGGGACTTGTTTCGCAATACTTTTTGTAGCACGTGATCATGTGTTTTGTGTGTGTTTTGAATTAAAGTTTTGGCACCATGTTCACATCTCTCCTTAAAAGAACCTTGTTGGTTTTGTTCATCTTGGTCTTTAGAATAGCAAAAATAATTTATTCTCTGTGGAATGTGTCATAGTGGGGAATTATGGTTGAACTATCTCATCTCTATGCTGTAATTGCTTCATAGAAATATTAATCACAGGCTGTCTAAGCTTGTGCTTCTCTTTCAAGGCATTTTCATAACAAAGGTTGTCATTTGCAATTGAGGACCATGCATCTGGTAAAATGCCATGATATGCAGGTAATGCCAGAAAATCAATTTAAGAAAAGCAACATATGGTACTGTACATGTCACACAGTCCAACAGAATGCTTCATAGTTCCACCACTCCAGACATCCATTTAAATGCCCTGTTTATGTAACATTTTGATTATTCAATAATACAGCAGAATCAAATTAAGAGTTGCTAGTGGGCCAGCAGTGAAAAGGGCAGATTCATTTCTAAGAAGAATTGTTATTAGCTGTGAAATACTAGCTCATTCTTCACAGTGATTATACAGGAGTCAGAAAGCTAATATCCTAACTGCAGAACAGTGTTAAAAAATCAGAGGCTGAATCTACTAAATACCAGGAAAAACAGCCAAGGAGAGAAGACAGAACTGTTGGATTTTTAGTCTCTTCTTTGAAGACTTTCTTTTAACTAAAATAAGTGCAGGTTGAATATTTTGAGACTTTCTCAGAGAATTGAATTTAATGTGACCGTAACTATTTCAGTCACTCTAATATAAAATGATTTTGACCTATTATTGGAAATCTCCAGAGAAATAAAAATCAAAAGACTTATTATTTTACTGTATCTGTCCTGTTTTTCTTTTCTCACCAAAGAAAAAGCTATGTTAACCTTCTCAGTCCTGGAATCTTTTCTAAATAAATCTTGTTTCCTAACCTCTCAGCTTTCCCATCACTTTGTGAATGTTGCTTGCTGGGATGAAGCTGCTAGGGCATTCAAGGTTATTCTCCCGTTATCCTGTCATCATTAGACGCTGGCACTGCTAAACACTGTCAAATACTTGCAATGATTCAATGGTGGAATTATCCGATATGGAGGGAGCACCTGAAGCTTCTCTTGTGTTGCACAATTACTGTACTACAGCTGTTATTGCAATTTGGAAATATGAAATTTCTGTAAACCCAAGTGCAAATACTAATCATCGCTACAATTGTAAAATCAACACCACTGTGCGGCAAAATACAATCCGTAAACATGGTAAATAACCTCCTGGGTTTCAGGGAATTTCTGTATCTTGTCTGAGGACAGTGTATACTGATGCATTCTTGTCAAATTATGTATTGAGCTTCAAGGATGCTTTTTCTTTACATACAATATTTTTATTTTTATTACCTCACTCTCCCACTTGAAATGGACCGTCAATTTTCCCTCTTGAAAGTGAACTGCTGTTTTCCAATTCATTTTCCCAAATCAGTATTCCAGAACTTCAAAGTCTGATTCCTATGATGTCCTGCATCTTTTGGAGATTTCATGCAGTTTTCTATGACTGCACAGCAAGTGTAGCCAATCACTTACCTTTTTTGGAGAATCCCAGTCATAGCCAAGGCATGGCACTCAGTCTTTCCCTCTCACTGTTATAAACCTAACCTCCCCACACTCATTCTTCTGCTGATCACCAGTTGCTCCACACTTTGTTACAGGAACCCCAACATCAATATAATCTTTCAGCACAACAATGCTTCTTTTCATATAACAAAGGAACAAAAGAATAACACATACAAAACAGTGTCAATCTGCTGTGCATGTCACATGCTAGTCTGCTTTATCACCATATCTTAATTTTCTACATCAAAATAGATGGTTGGACATGCATCAGTCAACCTCTACCAGATTATGTTACTTCCTTAGCAATGATTTTACAGCTTGAATATCTGAGCATTCCTGTGGTGTGTGAAAGATGAACAGAACAGGTATTGACAAGTTATATAGGCTTACTTGAATTAAATAGACCAAAACATCCAAATCACACATGAATTCCAACACTTTTTGTCATTAAATAGGTGGCAAAAATGCACAGAAAAAACACATCTTTATTCAAAACCCATCTACATCAAATTGTACTCCCAATTACAACTATAGGTTATATGGGATGTATTAAATCAATTATCTGTAGTTATTTAGAGTAACAGTGATTTATATACTGTACATGACAACCTAACACTCTTTAGAACTGACAACGAATCCCTTTTAATGAATTGCTAAAGACAATGCAATAGTGGAAAGAATAGGCAGTGTCATTCCAGATTATATGTATCATATGCAAATTCATATACAGTAAATAAATTTCCATTGACTCAGGGCTGAAATATTTATGTGGATTGCATTAATAGTTTTTTTGTTTGTTTTGTCAGCTGCAGCTTCTTTAACAACCTGTACGAAACCTGTATGAAAGGTGTACAGCTAAGAACTTTTGATTTTCCAAGTGGATCTCTTTCCGAAAGCATCTCTAAAAAGCAAAGTAATACATATATATATATATTCAGTGTATACATACAGTATGCATTAAATATTCAGAGATTAAGTTATATGCTTAGAAAGAAATTCCTTTGTTTCATTGCAGTTTAAATAACCTGAAAAAAACTTAAAATTGAATTAGGCTTTTTTCCAGATTATCTTTGGATGCCTGACTGCCCAATATACTTATTTTCATATCTTTAGCTGAGGAACAATTAACATAATCTTGCACGACTAATAATGTCCCAGTATAAGAAAAAGCATAGCAGAGACTGATCAAAAGAAATATCATAATATGAGAAAAGGGTTCTCAGAAACACTAGCCATCGTCTTCAAAATAAGCAAACTCGCAGTTTAACATGGGGATATGATTGACATTCAATGCACAAGCAGAAAAAAAAGTACAAAATCATCACAGCATTCAAACATCAAATAATATTAATATAGCCAACATTCCATCAATATAAAAACATAATGATTGTTTGCTCTCAATATAGCTTGTTTTAATTAAAACCTGTCACCCTTCTATATTTTAAAGGAAGAGATTCAGCTATAAAATAGTGCTCCAAGATGCCTCTGAACCCTCAATAATAATGACTTTTCCTTATCAAAGAAACATTGCGTTTTCAGAATAGCACAAACAGAAGACTTATTAATTTTTATTATAAGAAAAATCTGTTACACCGGGGGAACGAGAAAACCTTTAATTAAAAAAAAAACACTTTCTTTTATAGATAGGAATTCCTATTACCAGAACAGCAAGTCAATTTTAAAGCAATAAAGTCCTCATCATGAATAAGGTATGGTAGCACCTGCTGCCCTATACATGCTGAAAACTGCAATCCAGTTGTTACTAAATTTCTTATATAGGACACTGGAAGGTTGAAATATTTCAGTCTTGATATGTCGCCTGTGGTATTATGCAATTCTATCATTATATCACTGAAAAAAGAAAATTATATATTTTTTATTGAGCCACCCACCTTGAAGAACAGTGTAAGGATAATCAAATCATTAAAAAAACCTTAATGCATTGTCATTGAGGGATACATTTAAGATTTCTGATAGTTTGCAAAGGAGTACTTGCGAAATAGTTCCTAGGGTTAAGAAAACCCTTGTCTTTAGTTTGGTTCTGAACCACTAGGATGTGGAAGAATTCTATAACTATTTGCTTACCAAGGTTTGGAGCACTGGAATGATACCAGCAACTAATATGAAATGATGATAATATTACTAATATGTTCACAAAGCAGGTTCTTGAAGAACAAATATTGATATCTTTATCTAAATGGTTAGAATTTTCTAATTATGAACAAGTTAGCTATCTCATTTAACAAACTGATGTTGCTGGGGTTTGTTCTGTGAAATAAAGAATGTGAAAAAAAAGCCTTCCAGATCGTATTGTTTTTCAGTTGAATGTTTCCTCTTTGACTGCTTGTAAGCCTGTCAAATTTTAGCTTTTCTTTTCAAAGGCTTAATCATACTGATCTTTATGATACTTTATTTTAGTGGCCTGGGGGTAAACTTTGAATCTGTGTTTAACTCTGTGTCCATTCCTGATGTTGATCTTCTGATATAAACTTACAACGTTTTGTGAGCAAGAAACAAAACATTTATTATCATTGTGTGTTTATTTGGAGCAGGAAATCAGAGAATGAAAAAGAAGCTATCGTTATAAATAATAGTAAAACGGTACTAAGTTCACTAAAAAAGTATTGTAACAGCAAAGTCAAAACTTTATTTGTTAGTGAAGCAATATGTACAGTATTTATGATTATGAAATTAATATGCATGACAAGTACAATATAATGTATGGAGCACTATAATACTAATATAATATATACAATGTGATGCTATACTATGTTATGTTTTGGGTAATTCCATGCAAGAATTTGATAATATTAGAACAAAAACATGGTAGTTTTGAATTAAAAAAAGCCATACAGTAGGCACTAGAACTCATTCCTATTCATTGAAAA